CTCTGCTTTCCCCAGCCTGGCGCCCGGCCCGGGCTATGGGGCTGCCCCCAGCAGCCCGTCACTCTCAAGGGGTCTGCCCAGCACCTGGGAGCCCGTCGGCTGGGTGGGCCACGTCTACACTGGCGGCGTCTTGCGCAAGAACACGTCCGCGCGGCCCTGTGCACTGTGCTTTTGCGCACGAGCCTGCCTGGCAGTGCGGCCGCTCGCTTGCGCAAGACATCCCAGCCGAGCGTCCACACTGCCGCCTGCACAGCAGGGCTTACACCTGATAAAGAGCGTAGGGCTTGAGCAAGAAGCCTTCTCTCACCGTGCCGTACTGTACATTTCCTTGTGCAAGAGCGGGCGGGCAATAGATTCTTGCGCAAGAAGCCGCGAGTGTAGACATAGCCGGAGAGGGGCCCATCAGCCGCGACGACAGGACAAGAAGGGAGCTTGGTGAGTTACCTTTCTGCCTTGCTTTCATCTGAGATGCTCTCAGCCCCTTTCTCAGACCTGAACAAGAGCACTGCGGGCATACAAGTTGGTCTGATAAAATATACCACAGTACGAGCTCTGTTTCTCGGAGTTCATGGTAACAGTATAATAGTGTTGTAATCGATTATCAGTTAATGCGATAGACTACACGTATTTTTCCCCCCACACCTTTGCCAGTAAATTTTTTATAAGTCTGGCCTGCAGCCCAGCTTGGTCAGGGACCTATCCCAACTGTGGCTCTGCATTTAAAGTGTATTAGGAGCTAGGCAGGCAGCCTGGCTCAGTTTCGGTACCAGAAGCAGCAATACGGAGCAACAGGCAGCCAGTCCATAAGGGGGGCTGGTTTTTAAACTGGCCCCCTCATGGATCAGCTCCCTCCTGGCACCCTGCGCTGATGCCTGTGAGATAGAGACCAGGGTTGCTAACTGTCACAAATTTACAGTCAGTAAAAAATTAGCTGGAATTGGACATGTCTGTAAAAAACAGTAGGTATCCATAAATTTTGTAAAAGTGCAATAAAATTTCAAAAACCAATGATTCTATAGCAATTAAATTTCTTCTGTGCTGCTTCAGCCATTTTACTGTGGAGCAGCAGAAATTGAACGTTTTAGTTGTTTATTTAGCTCAGTGAAAAACTTTCAGGACCATGACTAACTAAATGAAAGTGAGTTAAATAGCATATTGTACTTGTGATGTATAAAGGACAATTACTTTCACGTTTGGCTATTTGTCGTCTTAATGTAGTATAAAAATTATGTCCATAAATTTTCCCCATTTTGTCCATAAATGAAATTTCTGTGGGTTGGCAACACTACTAGAGACAGAAGCGTGGAGTGGCAAAGGTCTTCTCAGTGGCAGGTCGGATCCTCACTGGCTGTCGGCTCCACTATAGACTAGTCGAGTAACTGATAAGAATTCATGAGGTTACTTGACTATTCAATTAACTGATATTTAACATCTCTAGTTCATGGGAAACTGGGGGTTGTCGGTTAATCAAATGTGCCAGTTACTTCAGCTTTACACTATGGTTCATGAATTTTTTACCATACACTGGCCATAGTTCCAGGATGGGTTAGATAATATCAGATAGTGGTATTATATGCAGAAGTACAAAGTGTGAACAAACTTTACTAATGCAAACTTGACTTCTGCAAATGCAAATTTCTGGTTAACTGAAGGAGTAATTGTATTGCCATCTATGACAGGTGCCAGTTAACCAACTCTGAATATTCAAGTGCTGGATAACTCAGCTTGTATTGTACCTCACCAACCACGTCTGTTTTCCAGTGTAGCCATTACAGTTCACCAACATTTGGGGAGGCATTGCTTTATTGATTATGGTAACTTAAAAGTGCCCAGATCTTGGGATCTAGGATTGGGATTATGACTCGTTAGCATTATTCTTAATATAGGCATCACTATTATTTTATACAATCTTTCTTTTCTTAAATGTAATCAATGATTTTCAGAACAAGCTTGTTTTGAATATATGAATTTACAAAGAAGAAAGAAGACTACTTTAAAACAATAGCATTTTTTTAAGGTCAGGATTGTTGCTCTCTGCATACGAGTGCAGAGAAGTGCAGGAGCATACAGTAGTGCTTTCCCCGTCTCCAGATTACCTTCATTGTAGGTAGCAGCACATAACCTGCCTCTCTACATTCTTCAGAGGAAGGTGAAAAACCTCTTAAGGTCGCTGCCAGTTTGGCTTGACGGAAAATTCCTTCCTGATACCCACCGGTATTAATCAATAGCAGAATACTTCCCCACTGAAGCAGATTACTTTCATCCTCTATTTCTAAACCTCTACAACTCACCTAAGCAAACACAAGATACCTTACCCCAAACAGAATTTTTACTCTGAAAAAAATTCTAGACACTTTGGCTGTGTCTACACTGGCATGAATTTCCGGAAATGCTTAAAACGGAATACTATTCAGTTTTCAGTTTTTCCAGAAAAGGAGCATCTACATTGGCAGGCTGCTTTTCCGGAAAAGCCCTTTTTCCAGAAAAGCGTCTGTGGCCAATGTAGACGTGCTTTTCCGGAAAAGAGCCCCGATCGCCATTTTCGCGATTGGGGCTTTATTCCGGAAAAGACTACTGGGCTGTCTACACTGGCCCTTTTCCGGAACAGTGTTCCGGAATAAGGACTTATGCCCGAGTGGGAGCAGAATAGTTTTTCCGGAATAGCAACTGATTTTGTACAGTAGAGCATCGTTGCTTTTCCGGAAATTCAAGGGCCAGTGTAGACAGCTCGCAGCTTATTCCGGAAAAGCGGCTGATTTTCCGGAATAAGTGGCCCAGTGTAGACACAGCCTTCATGAAGTCATTTAGGGCTCTAGTGCTATTGATTTCATGTGGAAGTTGATCAGATACTGTACTAACAAGTGGCAATATATAGGACCAATAGACAGCAAATGGGGAACCAAGAACCCAATTGCAACTCAATTTAGGCACTACCCCTTCCTTAGTGGACATTGGTAACTGACAATCTTGCTTTAGTAGCATTTTTAAATGCATTGATAAATTAACTGCATTTATAAACTTTATAAAAAATCTTCTCTAGTTGTGACTGACACACTTAATCCAGAAAACAGATACATAAAAAAATTAAGCAAGGTTTTACCAAAATTTAAGATTCCTCCTCCCCCTTATTCCATAGAAATTATGTGTCTGTACAATAAGGAGACAGGTTTGAAAAGGGCCAGTGTAGACAGCTCAGATTTGTTTTCCGCAAAAGAGCCCTGATCGCAAAAATGGCAATCGGGGCTTTTTTGCAGAAAAGTGCGTCTAGATTGGCACGGATGCTTTTCCGCAAAAAGTGCTTTTGCAGAAAAGCATCCGTGCCAATCTAGACGCACTTTTCTGCAAAAAAGCCCCGATTGCCATTTTTGCGATCAGGGCTCTTTTGCGGAAAACAAATCTGAGCTGTCTACACTGGCCCTTTTGCGCAAAAGGACTTTTGCCCAAACAGGAGCAGCATAGTATTTGCACAAGAACACTGACAATCTTACATGAGCTCATCAGTGCTTTTGCGGAAATTCAAGCAGCCAGTGTAGACAGCTGGCAAGTTTTTCTGGAAAAGCGGCTGATTTTCTGGAAAAACTGGCCAGTCTAGACACAGCCTAGGAGAGGAGATTATTTTTCCCCTTCAGAATAGATTGTGGATATGTTGCCTCTTGTGGTGATACACAAAGCAAGCAATGGCGGAAGTCTTTAAGAAAAGTCATAATGATTATATAATGGTGGAAGTACATAACTGATCTGATACAACTTCATCAGAAACACAATCTGGGAAATTAGAAGGCATGATTTGTGACAAATACAATGAGCAGCAATAAATAAAACTTTGCCACCTCATGTATGCATTGCATAAGCAAATAAAATTAAATTAGCCATATGAGAGTGTTAAAACTGAATTAAATCTTCAGATATTAAATGGGGCTACTGTGATCAAGGTTTTATACTTTACTGTGTCTGTGACAATATTCCACCTACATTGTGGCAATGACATTGGTGAGGATGTAAAAAAAGAGTATTGGAGGGGGAAGGAAAGAACCTTGTCTTTACAGTAAAATAAGTTAAGCCAATTTTGTACTTCTCATTCTTATCTTCATTTAATTGTGTTATTAAACCACATACAATATCTCTGTGACTTGAATAAGTTCTCAATAACCTCAGAGGGGTGCTACATTTATTGTATAAGGAAAAGATTGGCTTTTATCTGTACCCTGACTGCAGCAATGTTCAAGCACTACTTCTCCTAGACATTATTCTACAGTACTTACCACCTAGAGAGGTGACTTAATATGAACAGTGTGTGAGCATTTGGTAGTCTTTCTGATAATAAAAACAATACTAATCATCTCCTTTTCTTACTGGCTTAAATTATGGTTGAAATTGTTTGTCTTTGCTAGCTTCACACATTATTTAAGTCCTCAATAAACACTTCATGGAAAAAGTTAACCTACCACGTGCAGAAATCTATTTTATGAAATCCCTCTAAGGAAATGTCCATTCCACAGTGCTTGCCAAATAAAAATATACCTAAAGGAATGAGACCTACACATCATCTGTGTAAAAGATCCTGTGCTGTTGTGCCAGATACGAGCTTTTTGCGCCAATGAACTAAAAAAATATAGACTCCTGAAATAAATGGTAACCTACCAGAGAAGCAACAAGGACAGTAGAAATCCACTCCTACTAGCAAAACCCCCAAAGACAAGAATGGTAAAAATGTTTATTCCACATCCAACCCAGGTGGTTTGCCACGGACTTCAGAGGGGCCAATATTTCACCACCTCAAGCCAATGCCATAATTTGAGCATGTAAAGTTACGCACAAGTGTAAATATTTGCAGGATATTATCTCAGTGCTATGTTTTAAAAAAAGGTGTTGACTATTCTAAAAATTGTCAAGAACAGTTGCGCAAGAGGGCTTATTCCTGAGCGGGAACATCATAGTTCTTGCACAAGAAGCACTGATTTCACACATTAAAACATCAGTGTTTTTGCGCAAGAACTCCCCGCCAGGGTAGACAGGCAGCATGTTTTTGCGCGAGCAGCTGCTTTGGCGCAAGATCGTGACAATGTAGACACAGTTAGGTTCTAACACCCCTTTCTACCACCTGCCCTGAGCATGAAGAACCTACCTTTGCTTATTTCTGCCTTGGGTTAGCTCCCTGATTACCCCCCAGCACTGTCTCCAAGGTGTGTGTGTGGTAGCCTCCCCCAGCCCTACCCATAATACAAACTGGCTGTGTCTAGACTGGCCAGATTTTCCGGAAAATCAGCCGCTTTTCCGGAAAAACTTGCCAGCTGTCTACACTGGCCGCTTGAATTTCCGAAAAAGCACTGACTTCCTACTGTAAGAAATGAGTGCTTCTTGCGGAAATACTATTCTGCTCCCGTTCAGGCAAAAGTCCCTTTTGCGCAAAACCTTTGTGTAAAAGGGCCAGTGTAGACAGCTCAGATTTGTTTTCCGCAAAAAAGCCCCGATCGCGAAAACGGCGATCAGGGCTTTTTTGCAGAAAAGTGCGTCTAGATTGGCACGAACGCTTTTCCGCAAAAAGTGCTTTTGCAGAAAAGCGTCCGTGC